TCATAAAGATGTACCATAACCAAATCAAGGAACAATATTAGCAGCAACAACAATGAAAATTAAGATTCTGAAAATATGGAAACACTGAAAAGGATAAAAAAAAAAAAACAATCTTATGCTAAAATCATTGTTGAACATCGTTCTAAGTAAAATTATCCAAAAATCTGGTATTTTCAAAATTCAATTATCCAATTAAAGTAAAGTTTAAATCCCAAGAATTCCCAATTTCTCTGCAATCAGAATAACATTAACAAGACAACCCCACATGTTCATGGGCAAAACACGGTACAATCAAACTAAAAATTCAACAACCTAGGGGGCCAAAAGGAAGATATAAAAGATAAACTAAGAACAATAAAAAGGTACCCAAAGGATGTTCGAGCTTGAAGGAACTTTTGGCCATCGCAAGACTCGAGCTTTGGTTTTTCCCCCTGCGAATTTCAATCATCAAGATATTCAAAATCACCCCTAGATAATCAAAATTGTAAAAAAAAATTGAAAGAAAAGCGCCGGAAACAACAAACAAAAACGGGAACTGGGGTTTCAATCTACCCAAAAAGCCAATAGATTGATGGAAAGAAAGGGACCAGTGTCAGAAAGACAAGAAAAGAGGAAGATTAGAAGTAACAATTTACATAGAAGGAGATGGAGAAGGAGAAATTAATTGAGAGAAGAAAACCTGTTAGGGTTCCTGAATTTTGATACCAACACGAAACCTACAATGGCACACTCTGTTGGTATATTTCAGGATGGGATTGTTCGGGGTCGGGTTCGGTTTCGGTTTCGGTTTCGGTTTCGGGTTCGGTTTCGAGGAACCTCGTCTGAATGCGGGTCAACCTCTTCGTTTGGGGTTGCGCGGACCTGGAGTATTGTGGTTGGGCTGGACTGGGCCGTGGTTAACAGTTATGGTTAGAAATTTTGGGTGCACGTCGTGGGGGAGGTTGGACTGGTCTGGGCCTTTTTTCTTTTACTACTATTTTTTGTGATTGAGAATTAAGATTAGATTGCTCTTTTTTCCTTTTTTTTTTTTTTTTTTTTGGGGGGTGAACATTATTGTTTCTAGGAAAATATCTCTGTTTTTGAGTATGTATAATATTGGTGGTGGTGTTGTCATACCTTCAATTATTAATTCATAACTTTTTATTTTAATTAATTATTATATCCTTTACTTCATTTAAGAAATGGAAAAATGCAAAGTTTTGAAAAAAATGTAATGTAAGATATAACAATAAGTTAAGTTAAAATATGTAACTTTAATTATTGAGGATATGACAATAACTTCAGCCTATGTATATGCATTTTTACGCCAACATGTGACATCAAATGAATAAGTAGTGGATTCATATCAATTCATATATGTCCTTCCATAGAAAGAGCTAATCACAAAACTTTATTTTATATTATACAAAGTATTGTAGTTAAAAACATTCTAAACACAGTATTTTCGTTTTTTTTTTTCTTTTCAAATCCTAATAATATGTTTAATGTGAGAGGAGGAAAAGATTTTTTAACTAATCAAATTATTACATTTTTCCAATCTAATTGATCAAAAAATCTTTTTCTCTCCTCCTCTTCATTCTCTTTAAATCAAATATACTGTAAATAAATTAATAAAAATATCTAGCAAATCTTACCATACCCCTTTGTAAAAAATTGCCCTAAACAATAAAAGCATAATATAAAAAGTTCAAGATAAATTTTTGTTAGATAAAAAATTGAAAAATGTAAGAGGAAATTGTCTTTGTGATGAATGATGATGGTAGTGTATTGGTATCAAAGAATATGAGTAGAATATTATTCCCAATCACTCTCCATTCCAAAACCCTGATTGGGTTAAGTAATATAATTTGCTTATAATACCCAAAAGCTTTTTAATTCTGTCCTTTTGCCCCTGTTACTTTCATAAAAATAAAAAAGATGATGTTTTGCCTCCTTCCACCACCTGAGTATCTCTCTGATTTCTGTATATTTAATTTCTGCTCTAACAGGGAAGTACTTGCTTATATTCCAGCTTCTCCATGTGGGGGAATTAAAAAGGGAACAAAGGACCACAATAACGTTACTGCCTCTATTAAAGGGTACCATCTAAATCTCCCTCTCTTTCTTTCTCTCTTAATTGCGACAACATGGGTCAGCGTCATTCTGCAGCGGCATCGGTGGCAGCAGGAGGAGGAAAGTTCAAGCTTGAGGAAAAGGTGGTTGACAATAGCTAGAGAAAAAAGATCAAGGTTTTACATATTGAAGAGGTGCGTTATTATGCTCATATGTTGGCAGAAGTACGGCAAGTATTGAAACTCTCATGCCTCCTCCAGTTGTAGTAAAAAATAGATGACATACATCCACTCTCGTTTCTTGGATGAATTAATGTAACAAATGGGAATTTTTCAATCATAGGATTCTTGATACAACTATCAAAAGACTTTATCGATTTCATTAATCATATTTTCTATGTACATATACACATGTGTGTACTTCTCAAATTAATGTAAAAGTTTCTTGATTTATAGTCTAATGAAGTTTGCAATCCATTTTGTTTATACATAATACAAGAAATTTAATTACGGTATATGATTGGAAAAAAAAAATTGTACATATCTAGAATTTGATATGATGTTGGAGGGGAAGACGATGGAGATAAATGAAGAGTTATGTTATAGGAGCTTTTCACGTGAAACAAAAGTGGGGCTGTGTAAAAGGATCACATGCATGGGGAGAGGGACAGATCATGGAGGGTAAATGCTTTAGGTAGGACTTTGGGGTCAATCCAAGACTTTGGTCTATTGCCTTGTACTTGCCAATATTTTTCCTCTTCCAACATCACATGTTTAAGTACTAATTTCAACTTGTTTAACCTACTAACTTCAGCAGAAATTTTATTCAAAAGTACCTTTTCCCTAACTGAAGCTTCTGTAAAAGTACAATTTTGAGTAGTTTGTATGGCAATAGCACCACGTGTAATTTTAGAAGTTGGTAAATTTATTTATTTATTTTGGTATCTAGTATTAGAGTCTCCGTAGAGTCATCTTTTATATATTTTGAAATCAATTTTTTTATGGATAATTTTTAAAAGAGTACACCTTATATGGATTAGATGTATTCGAAAAATTAATTTTTTTAAATATTGATCCTGAGACTTGGATTCTAGACTAGGGATTTGATAAAGTTGTCTCTTCAATTATTTGAAATTAGCCTTAAGTTTAGGTTATGATACAGTAGTTTCATGCTTCTTGTTTGTTGTTTCTTTACCGGCAATGCCTTAATTTGGGGGAACATTAATCCTTTTCTAGGAGGGAACGTTGGTAACCTGTCAGTAACAAAGAAAAAGTAATTCAAAGTTAAGGCTCTAGACTCTAGTACTGAATTGATCATTCAGGCCACTCCTGGACACAAATGATTCATATGTCAATTGGCCCATTTCTTCCATCCTAACTACTTCTTGCCTAACCCATCAACATTGTTCCTCTTTTTCATTATCCACCTCTGCTTTCTGGTGACAGGATGACATTTTGAAGTTTCAAGTTTAAGTCATGTATTGTGCATGCATTTTTATGTTAGTTTTTTATAATTTGCAATTTCATTGGGTCGGTATGTCTTATATGAATGATTGTTATAAAAGTATTATTACGTCATAGATAAAATGAAAATCTGGATTATGTTTCTCGTGAAAGTTGAAAAGTGTGTCACTATTATTTCTCTTTGATAAAGAAAGCAAAATTTGTTTTTTAGAAAATAACAAAGGGAAATTAAGGTTAACCTCACCAACCAAAGACTTTATTCCTAAGCCTTTTTGAAATTCAAATGGGGTGGCACCACACCAACATGCCCCCCTTCAACCTCATAAATACCAAATTGAAAGCTCAAGGGTCTGCTTCACTGAGCCTTTTCCATTGTCTCTAAACTTTAAATTTAATATACCCACCTCCCTTTTGTTGGGTTGGTGGAAAATTCAATGCCACCTCCTTTTCTTTCCCTCTCATTAAGATATGAGAATCTCGCAGGACACCCCTCTTCACTCCCTGAGAAGACATATCCCAACTTCTTCTGCTGCTGCTTCCTCATCCCTTTGATATTAAAATTTTTGTTTTTCCTTATCCTCTTTGCCTCCATCTCCTTCTTCAGCAGAATCGACTTCATATTTTCATGGTAAGTATGTAGGAAGCACCCATAGAAGTACGAGATATTGGTGCGGTTCAATCAGAGAGCATCACTCTTAGTGTAGAGTTTTGTTATTTGATTGAGCCGTGCCAATATCACGAACAATAACCCAAGATATGTATATCTCCAAATTCTCTTCAACCCAACTCTATTTTTATTTTTGATATCCTTCAACTCAACTGTCTTATTCTAGAACACCTTAAAATCATGAATTCTTGGTCAAACTTTAATTTTTAGCCATATTACATTGATAATGTGTATGTAACAGTTTTATGTTTAATGTAGATTTTGGAATGAAAACAACTGCAGGTTTCCAAAGAAGACGATCTCCACTGTCTTTTGAGTTACTGCATGCATCTTTCATTTATATCCAGGCGACTTTTCCCTCTCTTGTTGGGAGATTTCCACAGGTTTATTTTTGCACTGAAAGCAATAATAATATTTTAGGCAAATGTTGAAATCCAGAGGGACATAGGTTGGGGTAGGTAGGATAGATTAAGCGATAATAATGAATATTGTAGTAGTTGCTTCCATGTAAAGCTTCACTACTTTTTTGACAATGTGGTAGTAGGGGTAGTTTTCATGTTTTTTGAGCAATGAAGTTTTAATGAAAACTTGTACTCCAATATCTTTGGCCATTTAGGGTGTTTTAATTGAGTCCCTTTGTCGTGTTTCTAATAAATTAGTTCCTTGTAAAAACAAAAAAGTCCTTAATTGTAGGAGGTAGAAACTGTCAATGAAGCCTTGATTCAGTAGTTAAATGACAACCTGAGTCCTTGAAAGGTCACAAGTTTAAATCCCCTGACCCCCCATGTGGCTTCAAAGAGTCTCTTTCATTATTTCATGGTGTACAATGTGATTCCCTAATCAAAGGCTTGATTTTGGGACCAGAAAAACATCTCCTTTAGGGAGAAAGAGAGAGAGATGATGGCGTAACTTTATTTGTTTTATTGAAAAAAGAGGGAGCAAAAAGCTGCCCACAAAGATTACTACATAGTATATATCTCATAGTGATGGCAGAGAACTTGTAATGCAGCCCTCCACCATTCAAAGAATGGGTTGAGGCAATTTCTCTTATACTTACTATTGCTATGGGGAGTTAGTCTCAGTTGAAGTGGATAAGGGATCCTCTCTTTTCTTACTATGATGCATATTCTGGTATACAACCTATCTCTACACATTTGGATTGCATGTGTGGAGAAGGAAGAAGGAAAACATTGATCTCTATCCCTGCTGTCTCAGGTATATCTTTCCTGGGTTAGAATTCAGGAAGAACTGCTTGTCTTTTCCAAGAAGTTCCCGCTCCATAATGCATTCTGGTCCTCACCACAAGTTTTGTGCACTTCCATCATCCTTTCTGCAGACCTGCAGATCCCACTGCACCTCCAATCAAATGAAGCAGCACAAATGTAACCTGCTTGAGCTTTCCATTCACAATCTACAAGAAAATGAATAATCAGCTCTGTGATAATGTGTTGTATATGTTTTTCATTCTTGTAACTTCTATACTTTGGATCAACTTACCTGGTGGAGTACCACAACACAATCTCCTATCATCCACATGCTCCACATCCAAACCAATAAACCAAGATCCCAATGAAACATCTTCATTTGCATATTTATGTAGCACATTCCTAAGATGATTAGAAAAACAATTAACACGACAAGATTGCTAAGTTCTTCGGTAGTTAATGTGTCACCCAGTTAAAAAGGGCTATGAATCAAGCCAAGAGAAGTCAGAAGTTACTGGTTTATTGATATGTAAGTTGCCAAATCTTTTGATATGGCATAGAGTTGTCCAGTTGCATGACGAAAATACTTGTTTCCCACCTCACCAAATTTCCAGTGCTCTGGTTCATGGTATTTCACTCCCCTGTTCCATTATTGTGAGAAGTTTCAGAACCACTAAATGTTTACCAATATGTAAATATAAAGTCAATTAAGACAGAATGAACACTTTGCTTACTTTTGAGCAAGAACAGGGCCAGACTTCATGCAACCAATATAGACCCGAGCTTTCTTCCGATGTCCAGCTAAAGTCCTTGCAAGTGTTGCTGTGGAAAATTTAAAAGGCATATCAACACAATGAGATTAAATCAAAACAACCTAAAAATGGATTTGGTATTTATCTAGAATGTCTTATTGTTCTCAATAAACAAGTAAGATCATCTGAACTTTCTAAACTGCATTGGCATTCCTTCAAAAAGTTCATTGGTGCCTATCACAAGACATGGATCTTGGTTTAATCCTATTCTTCCTTTATTCAGAAAGGACTTGCCACCATCTATATAGGGGGAATAGTAGAATGAAAGAACAAGCATTCATCTTACCAGGATTTACATGAACATCATCATCCACTTTAACATAAAAATCTGCATCCCATAAGGAAACAGCAGTTGCAAAATAAGCTTTGGTCTTGGCTGACAATTCCAAGTAACCCTCAATATGTTGGTGCTACAGAAAGACAGATGAAGAAATATTTTAAGACTAATCAATGAGCTAATGCAAGTAAAAGCAGATAAGACCTTAGGAACAGAAGAGAAACATCACCAGCCTCATGAAGTCTCCATAGACCTTTTCTTCAGCATCAATAGCTCTATCAAGAATACCACCAGGTGTTGAACTAAAAAGGCCATTTGATTAGTTTTTCTACGTCATGGATCACAGATAAAGAATTTTATCCAAGGGGGAAAATGTCAGACAAATTTCCACAATTTGCCAACCATATGAAACCTTACTCATAATAATTTCATAGCATGTGGGAATGATTAATGAGAAAGTTGTTAAAGGAGAAAGTAAGAATAATTTATAGAAAAAATCTATTAGAAGACCAGGTATCTGTTGCAAGGATAGAAAGCATATAAAGAAAAAGGTAAATTAGTAATTACCTGTGACCTATAACAAAGCGTATGATGATGCCTTTCTCTTCCTCCAACTGTTTCTGCTTGTCACCTGTTCATGTTTACCAATAACTCATTCACCATTTCTCAATAGGAATGGCAAATAAACAATCTTGAAAATAAATTAAAGACAAACAATTAATAAACCTTGGGGCATCCATGTTTCTCGAACTGAATCTCTTCGCTTCCGACTACCAAAAGCTGTATTAATTCCTACAACCATGAAGTATTTCCTTTTAGAGTTAGATTCAACAGCATTTGAGTCTCCCATTGCCAGGGAGTCCTTGATCACAGTCTCACGTTCAGCCCTGGCAGCCATTAGTTCCATCTCTATATCTGAAATGGTTCTACCAAGTGTCCTGCATTTCATATACAGCAACGAGTTGGTATTTAAGGTTATTTATGTGACTGCAGTAGCTCAAATCCTGCTTAAACAACTAGCAGCATTGCTTACTGAATAGCTTTCTGGGCTGATGAAATTTCTCCTGAACTGTTCTCGGCCTTATTCTTTAAAGCCTCATGGCAACGAAAATGCATAAAGAAGTGTTAAAATCAATGGAGTACAAACTACAAGGCAAAGTTAAGACTCAGTTTTGGGATTATTCTTCTAAACTGCTAGAATGCGACAAGAAGAAAAGCACTCACAAGTTTGGGATTACATTTGCCAGATTTTAAGTTAGACCTTCCATCTTCATTTGTTCTAGATGTCCTCGGTAAACTTTTGGTTTCAGGCACAATACTGATAAAAAAGGTTCTTCATTAAAATGACATGTATGTGCTAAAATAAACCATCCTGTGATGTAAATTAAACAATCCAACAACATCAATCAGTAATGGCAAGTTTGGTTAAAAAAAAGAGAATTATTTACAAGAAAAGCAAATCTGGTAAATATAGTAATAAAAGAAGCTTTGAAAAAACCAAAACAACCAATGAAACACAGTTAAACAAATTGTGGCTTTAAGTGATGGATTCTTTGTTCAGCAATTTAGCATTTAGTGATACTAAATTCACACCCCATAGTACTGGGGCTGAGTAATCACCAACCATATATGCTTGAATTTAGCACCTCCCTGCCAATCTAATCTTCAGAGATTAGGGGTTCAATTCAATGCAACAATCTATAAAGTATTGATAAAATTTCTCGAGTAGGTCAATGGTGCCAATTTCAGCAACTAATTATAGCTTCCACTCTCAAAAGCTTGTTTATAGAATATAATTATAGAAAAAAGAGAGAAGAGCATAGAACTCGCCCTAATGTAATTCCAAATCGCCCAAATTCTGAACAGCAGAAGAACTAAGAAATTGTTTTAAATTTCTAATTCACTGCAGCCATGATCAAAGTATTGAATCCAAACTAAGAGATAATAGTTTGCTGTTAAAAAAGTAAAATTAAAAAAAAAAAAATCAACAACAACAATAAAGAGATAATAGAAATTTGGACCAAAAAAGTTGCTTCTTTCTTCCTGCCGACACAAAAACAGTAACGCAACTCCTGGAATATACAACAATTACCCAATTTACAATCACAAGCACATTATCAAACGCGTGCTAATTCAAGCATACTACTTTCTTGAAAAATCCATCAAATTCTTAGAATTCAATCATGCCCACTTGACCAGAACGCATAATTTGAGTCAGGGAAAGCATCAAGTAACTAAAAATTGTAAATTGAGGGCTAAAAACAGAACCCCAGAAGCAAAATTTACCTGTAAGTGAAGAACATTCCTGCACAGAAGCTGGCAAAACAAAGCAAGAGAACTTCTTTCCTTGACAAAAGACTCCTGGAACCGAACTCTATTCTGCTCTTAACAGACATCTTGCCCCTAAACCAAGGTTACTTTCAAACAAAAAAATGGAGAAAACCCCAAAAATAATAATAATAATAAATAATAAATAATAAAAAGAACCCAAATTTACGAATAGAGAGGGAAATCAGGAAAAACCCAAAACCAGATTTGCAAGGGACAAAACATCCATGTTTCAGACCCCCAGTTTTGGGTGGCACACAATAGGCATTCCCTTTTCCGTGCGTGTGCAGGGAAAAGACACCTTAATTGCTCTTATTAATAGCCCCTAATTACTGAAACCGTCCATTTAGCAAACAGTCCTCACTAATTTTTCTCTGTTTTTCTCCCGACTAGAGTCCGGATTTAACGCTCAGCTTGCACTCTTTGGCAACAATCGCAAGAAAAGGCGATGGTTTTATTTAATTCTTAACAACGAGCTTGATTTCTAAAACAGTTTCAGTTTGCATTAAGTAAAGTGGTGGGTTCCAATTTCGTATGCAAGTGGTAATTTTTGAAGTTTTTAATCATCCAAAACTGTCCTTTTATGGAGAATGACAGTTATCCAACCAAAGGCTTGTATAAACGGAGAAATTCAAAGATGGAAAGTGAAAGAAAATAATTTTCTTTGGTTTTGGTAAGTTCTTCTTATTATTTTTTTTTCAAAAATAGGTAATGGAAGTTCTTTTTTATTTATTTAAGGCTAAGGATTTTCAATGAATTTTGGTATGAATCAACCCATCAAGTCTAGTGGTTGGTTTTCATTGGTAAAAAATTCTGCTCGCACTAATAACTTAAAAAATTTTCATTCCTTCAAATTTTTCATGTTCAAAAAAGAATTAATTTTAATATATTTTGATACTAATTTTTTAAAAACGTCTTGAAATTGCAATCTTTACATCTGTTTAAATTATTAAAAAAATTTATTTTTTTTAAATATTGATTACATGACTTGAATTTTAAATTAACATATAAAATAACTTACTCACCCCTGAATGTAAGTTTAGGCTTAGTTTTAGCAACCATCAGGCACAAAGAATGTGATTGAAATTGAGTCTGCATTTCCCCTTTACTTAATCTTCAATGCTTAAGCTTAAGGAAAAAGCAAGAGCGTTTCATGTTGGTATATCATCAACGAATTTTTGGGTTACCACTCTCTTTTACTTATTATAAGATATATCTTTTACAATATATTTAGATTAAAAGGAAATGATTTTTTTCTATTCTATTGTCTTTCTTTTCTTTTATTTAGATAAATAAATTAATTAAAAAAATAAAATGAAAGGCTTCATTTTCTTTCTTTTTTTTCTAATTTTTTTATAACTAAATAAAAGAATTTTTTCTCTCCTCCCCTCTCCTCCCTTCAACTCAAATGTATTAAAAAAAATACTTAATTAATCCTTTAACCACTTAATCAAAGAGCTTGTAGAGCTCTATTGCTAAAATTAGGATTGGTTACATTTGTATATAAACACAAACTTCTTAAAATATGTGCAAAGAGAAATAAGAACTAAAAAGAGAAAGGATTCAATGCCGAAAGGGTACAAAGCAATAATATCCTTCCTTTTCTTTCAGAGATGGATTGTGGGAACAATTAATACTTCTTCTTTTTTTTTTTTCCCAATGGAATCAATAATCATTTAAAGCGGCATATTGTGATGAACTAAGTATATGGTAGACAAATGACAAAACACTATGAACACAAATGCCTAAAAGTGAACAATAGAAATGAATTTAATTAAACGATTTATAAATTAAAAATTAATTATATTTTTTAATATAAATTTATTATAAAAAATATATTTATTACCCTTTTAATCTCTTAATATGTATTTTAAAAATATATGTTAAAAAAACCCCCTTTATTATTAATAGTTAGTATTTTTAATCTTAAATTTTTATATGCATATGATGATCCAAAGGGTTACAATTTGCAAAGCAACAAAGTTCAAAGGAAATGTTATAATGAATTAAAAGAAGATTTAGTTATTATACCATTCCGCTGTTGGGAGAGTACCACCTTAAAGCTTTTGGAGTGGTCCCTTTTCAAAATTTGGAACCCAAAAAAAAAAAAAAAAAAAAACAAAGGGAAGAAGAAGAAGAATAGAGATAGAAGTGGATGTTTTTTTAGGAAAAATTTTGGGGGAAAATATTATT